CAATATTTACAAGCAACGACTTATTTCTTGAGTAGTAACACAATTTTGACATTGAACATAACAACACCATTGAAAACGACAATTACATTTATCATGTACAGTCACTATTTGAGACTGATAACCACGATTACAACAAAGTAAATCACATCCATCAATGGCACGTGAACTTCGATTACAAATACGTCCTAAAGTACCAAATGAACCTAATAATAAATTTTTTTCACAATAATTTGGACTTGATTTATAATAAATTAAATCATTTTTATATGTTGTTGATATTGTTTGTTTATCAATATGAAATGGAAGATTACGTGGTATAAAACGTAATTTTTTATCAAATAAACTTCGTTGTAAACGTACTTCAATTGCATCATCATAATATTCTTTAAGTTGTTTAGCTATTTGTGTAAATGAATGAAGTGAACGCCAGCATATTTTAAATTCACATGAACCTGATACACCATGACATTTACATTGTCGATCAACAGAATCAAGAATTGTCTTCAAAAAAAAAAAAATTAAATTAAAATAAACAAAAGAAAATTTTTTTTTTACTCGAATTCCAACTTGGTTATTATGAACATTTAATAAACTTGTTCGATTTTTTGTTATACGTTCTCGAAGATTAACAAATTTTTTTGCTAATTGTGTACCAAATAAAACATTATCTGAACATCCTGTCCATCGTATAGAATTATTTAAATTTTTATCATTTATTGACATATCACATCCACATGAACTAAGTCGTCCTGTACTACATGCTTTTGTTATAGCATAAGCAATACCAGCTGATGTTAATGCATGAATATATGCTGATTCTTTTGTTCCTATTTAAAAAAAAAAAATTTAATTTCTTCTTTTTTATAAAAAAAAAAAAACAAAAAAAGTAAATCTAAAAACCTGAATCAAGAATATTTCCAATTAATTGATTATCTTTAAATAAAGTACAATTCCAATGACGATTTTTAAATTGTATTTGACACTCTTCTAATGCTAAATTTGTACCAAAACGTATAAATGGCATAAGTACTTCATTTTTTTGACAAAAACGTATTTGTCTAAAACTAAGACCATATTTAACATGACAAAGGCCTTGTGTAGCAAATGATATATCAGATACTTGAATAATTGATCTAAACAACAACAAAAAAAAAAATATCTTCAATTCACATCTGTTCAATTTTATGACATATTTGTCCAAGTTTTAATTTTATAGATCAATAAACATTTATTTTTCAAATGTAAATAAAAAAAACCGATATATTTGAAATGATAACCACATGCTGTTTATATATTTGTTTTACCCACATATGGAGAGATCATTGATCTTTTAGTTTTTTTTTTTTTTTTTTTTTCTTGTCAATGAACGAAATCAAATGACTTTTGAACGTGCTTAAATGTTTCCCATTCTTCTTAAATATATGCATATAAGAAGTAAAGAAATATCAAATAATGAATAATGTGTGCATGTTGATGACTTTTTTTATTTCGTTACGTTCATTACGTCATTTATGATGATCATCATCATGATTTCTTCTCATTGATATTCTCGCAAGACAAATTAAACGAAATAGAAGGTCTCTTTTTTTTGTAAAAAGAAAAAAGAAAGAGTTAATGAGCCGTATCTCATCTATCTCTCGACATGGATTATAAAGATATAATATAGGATATATTAATAAAATCAAGGGTATCTCGAGGCCATCAAAGATGGGTATACAAAAGATACATACGGAACGAGAAATGAAGGTTAGGATACAAAACAAACCCTTGTCAATCTCTAATGCCGGAGCCAAGGGGGTGGCTGGAGGGAGGACTCAGTCCCCCTCAGGAAAATTTTTAAAGCGTGTATTTTATTCGCCAATGGGAGCTAAGCCTCCCTCAGCCCAAAATCCTGGCTCCGCCACTATCAACCTCACTACCCTCACATCATACCGTGCATATCTGTCGGGATTCTTTTAAAGATTAGGAACGACCTTTGTTGCGAGGATTGATGAGAAAAAAATTACACTGGGAATTTTTCAAGATGGGCGAATGAGTATTCTGTTTAAAATTTATATTTTAAAAATTTAACTTACAGCCATTGTTGACTTGAATTGATTAAAATGAAAAGAAATAAAAAAAATGATATTTTCATTGCTTATAGATTGAAATGCAATCGATTGTATGAATATGTCAATGTGAGAACATAGCTTTGAATGATTTATATATATTAATCAATATAATATATTGTCGTAAATCTTCTCATTGACTTGATAAGATCTGATTTGAGGATAAGAATAGAAGAAAAAAAAAAACAACAAGTGTTGATGATTGTTCTTTCTATATATATATATATTGCGTAGTTAGAAATGAAGGTGTTGATGACGATCAGAATATGAATGTTCATAAAAAAAAAAAAAAAAAAAAAAGAAAGAAAGGGAGAGAGGTTAATAATGATTGGTTAGATAGAAACAGAAAAGAGAAGAGAAAATGTTCAATTTTTCTTTTTTCTTTCTCTGTTGGTGGGAGTTTGCGAGTCTTTCTAACACTTCGATGACAAGTCTCTTTTCACTTTCTATATCACATAACATACTGATTTATGTGCACAGTAGAGTCAATTAGTGTCACATATCGAGATGACTGACCAACTGCGATATTACTAATGTGTCTGCTACTCGACAATTGCAATTTATTGCAATGTTTGTTTTTTTTTTCTTCCGTACCATTTGATGTGATCATCGATCAAATAAATATAAATGATATTAGAGTTTTTTCTTCATTATAAAAACATATGTGCACATTTGTTCTTAAAAAATAAAAGAAATGAATTATTATCATGTTCATCTAAATACACATAAAATTAATTGAGAACTAAGTTTTCTTTTTTGTATATGAAGGATACGTGACAAATTTCTCTAGTTTAACATAAATGTACAATTGATTAGACATATGAGAAAACGTTTTCAAGTGATTCATGTTGTTTTTCGCTCATATTTTATACACATGTGAGAATCTTTATTTGAAGAAAGAGCATAAATGAATTTCGGTTGATATGACTTCTTTTCATACGTCTTGATATAGGAAGGACTAGGTTAGGGTAGTCTTCTCAATTTTTAACTTCTTCCACTTCAAACAACTATCGAGAGTTCTGCTTCCGTTTTGATTGATATAAATATTTTCACTCCTATATCAAGAGAAAACTCATATTAATAAAACTTGTATAACTCACGCGAGAATCACTCTAAGAGAGAACAGAAATATTTATTTTGGTTGAAACTTTCAAGATATTATAAATATGACTAGATCGATCTTCTCGAAAAATTTTCAGATCAAAATTCTTTTATTCAATTTTTTCGAAAGAAAACCTAACCATACGTTCTAAGTTCATTAGAAGGTCATAGGCAAGTATCCTATTATGATTATCATAGTCTCATTCATATATACTTTTGCTTATGATATAGAATTGTAACTGGTGAGAAGTTAAAGCAGTTCTCATATGAGTTATAAGAGGTTAATTGATATGTTTTTTTTTTCTTTTATGAAAGAATGAATATATCCATATCGATTGAAAGAAGTCACATCAATTCTAATCCTCTTAGACTTTTTCTTAGAATAAAGTTCGCTCACAATGTGCACGAAAACTATCAATGAAAAGGTGTAGATCAGTTGGATACCTTTACTCATTAGTTAATCCATTTTATATTATACAAACAGATGTTACAACTATTGTATAAAATTATTTGTTTTGATAGAAATACTACTTGTTAATTTTAATACTTTAAAATTCATAAATAACAAGTTTTGGTGAAATGGGTTCATTTTATTCAACATACTAATCATCAAACTGTTTATCAAATACAAAAGAAATTATAGTAGTGATTTCCTTTTTCAAAAAAAGAAAGATATTAAAATGAATATGTATGACATTATAATGAAATATTCTGATGATTTATTGTACAAAACTATAGAGTGACATTGACATTCATGTCATTCGCCTATCTGAAATTTAAAAAAAAAAGTGAGACATGAATCAATCTATAGACAAGAAATCAAATTTGATGTTAACTAATAATTTTTATCTGTTTCATATCATTATATTTAATTTTCATATTTTAGTTTATTAAAATTTCTCCCTCAAAAAAAAAAAAAATCAATTTTCATTAAAAACATGAAAATTGAGATAAATACATGGGAAGATAGTCCGAGCTTTTATCTTTCATAAATGACATGATTTTTTTTAATTTGCTATTTTCGTTTTTTCCAAAAATTTCCATCATTTTATACTTGAAAAATATGGATTTTTCGGGTAAAGTAGAAAATCTTTTTCGCTTTTTTCTGTTTATGTTGTTTTTGATCATACATCTCAGAATTCTCGAAGGAGTTTCATTGTGGCCAGCAGCTTTTTTATTTGTTTGTAAGAACATGTGAAGGTGTAGTACCCGTTTTCTTTAATTAAGCATTAGAACTTTTATGATTAGAGTACCATTTTTTGAGACAATGAACTTTTCTCTCTTCTAAAAAGTCGGAAAGGCTCGTTCAAACAGAAGAAACTAAGTATATAGAATGAATGCCTACAGCGAATTTCAAGTTGCCAAATGAGCTATTTTTGACCCTTTTTTGTTTAAGATCTTGCGAAAAAGTCATAGTATAGGACCCAAGATCGATTTTTGAGGGGGAGAAGCTCAGTGTAAAATGTTGCCATCTATAAAAAAATAATTAGATATTTACTGAAGAGTAGACTGAATGAAAAAAATTTATTATATGTTTACCATTTACAAATAGCAAAACCGCAATGTATTACGCCACTGTTGTGAAATGACGTTTATCATTCTGTTCTGTTTTTTTGTTATGCGACTACACTGATGTATATATATATATATGCGTTTTCAATGTAGCTTTCAGGCATTCAAATTTTTATTCAGCTCAAACAACCGACTAAATTTTACATTGAGTTCTTCTTTTTTCTATTAAAATTATTATATACATTTTAGAAATAAAGAAAAGAATTCTTATGAGCATGAGTAATTGGTCGGATGACGGCAAACGTAAAATGGTAAACAAAAAAACATCATTCAAAGTTGTATCTAAAATTAGTTTATTTGATAGTTTTTTTAATCTATTCAATATTTTCTATTTTAGAAATTTGATAAAGTTAAAGAATCATCGTCATCTGAAGAAGAAAGTGATGAAGAAATGATTGACATGCCAACTCGACGTTCTGCTAACAAGAATGAAGTCAAGACGACCGTTAATAATAAACGAGTAACAATATAAAAAAAGAAATTCCATTAGTTTGCCTAATTACAAAGTGAATATCTATTTTTAGAAAAAAATCCAATCAAAAAACATAAATACCCGTGGCAAATCACGAAAGAAAGTGGTTCAAACAGGGTTAGATGGAAAGTATTGGAATGTAAGTTGAGAGCTATTCAAATCGAGTTTCGAAGGTTGAAAAAATTATTTGGTAAAAAATAAGAAAAAAGAATCAAAGTAGAATCTATAAAAAGAAATGATTGAATTTTAACACGTATAAATTAAGGGACCCCGCAAAAAGAATTATTTCTTTTTTGAGCATCTAATCTTGATAAAAATTTCAGCTCGATATATTGATTTTGCGAAGAGTTAGTTTAAGATTATGAGTCAAAATATAGATGTCCATGCGTCCCAAATTTCTCTGCCATTTCAAATGATACAAAGTTCGAATTGGTTATAACATGTAGCCAAGACATGACGATACAATATAACAGGCCACGACTTTTCAATTTTTTTTCCTAGTTTGTGTTTCTTGAAAGCTTCTCTGATAAAGTACGGATATATTAAGGACGTGTAGGTTGAGAACGGTGAGTTTTTAGTAAACATTAAAGGCAAAATAAAAAAATTTGGATGTTAGGTTGCAGAACTGATTTTTGTCTTTATTTTGACACAGGACTTGTGGTCAAGCCGTAATTTGGTATTCCCAATGAGATTTTCTAATCGAAATTGGATTGGCTATCTGAAGATACGAGATACTCTTTTTTTGGTTTTTTGTATTCGGTGACTAGCGCACCCTACACATTCTTACGTGATTAGAGTCCATCAGGTCCAAAATTTGTTGGGATCCACCTGACGAGCTCTACACCAAGTCCAGTTTTCTAGTGTTTAAAATAGCATCGAAACCTAAGACGTACGGAAACGTCAAAATCAAGTTTTAATACTGTAATTCAACACTTCTTTCTCTATAAATTGATATAAAAAGAAACTTTAAGTCATTTGTCATATATCACTGACTAGAACGAATGAAATAAATGCAAATAAGGGTGTGGATGTGGGTCTTCAGATCACCTATATCCACACTTTCACTCCATTCTGCGACTTTTCTTGTTCGAGTGTTGTATTCACTTATGATACTTAGCAGTGCATGATAGACATGTTCATCACTGCTAAAAGTCAATAGAGAAGCTTGAAAGACTGTAAAAAATCAAAGTTTTTAGAAAAAAAACATTACTTCCTTCTGTGTGAGAGTTCAAAAAAATCTATGTAATATTCTTAAATCTCATCATAAATTCAATAAACTATAGTGCATTCGAGACGAGATACTTTGCTCGATCCAACGAACTATAAATTACAAAATCGATAGATTTGACCAAGACTGACTTTTATCCTAAGAGGTTTAAATTATATGAGATTGAAGTCAATACTATTAGTCATTGTATCAATGGAAAACATTCTTAAAGTATTATATGTTCATCTTCTGAATGCTCAATAAACTTAAATATCGATACAATAGATCATTAATCGAAAACTTTTCTAAATCTAAATAATTTTTCTCAGGATGTTGCATCTGATCGACATGCCAATGGAGGTGTGCTTAATTACCGAAAACTCAATGGTGATGATGTGTCATCATCTTCATCAGAATCATCATTTGAAGATACAGCTAGTACATTTTCAAAGTCATCATCATCAGATGATGATGATGACGATGATAATAATGACATTTTATATGAAAATAAAACATTTATTACATGTCGAAGTCCATCAGATTCATTTTATCTTTGTCAAGTTTTACAAGATGTTTATATATATACAAAAAAAATTCGTATTCGTTGGTGTTCTATAGTTGGTGATAATAGTGATGAAACAAAAATTGGTATTAATACACGTTTTCAAGTTGATTATATGGATACACTTGATTCGGATACAATTTTAACTAGTATATCAGATGTTATTTATCACGATGATGATAATACAATATCATTAAAGAAAGAAGATATTGTTGAAACAAAACGTTTATTAGAAAAATCAATTCGTAGTGTATCATTTTCATCTAATGATATGATGGATTTATCAACAGAACATCGTACAACAAAGAAAATGGCTAATCACATACGTTTTGAATCAACTAGTGAAAATGAATCTAGTAGTTCTTCTTCTTCTTCCCAATCATCGACAACAATTTCGAAAACAAATAAAAAACGAAAACGTGCTTCGAATCAACAGAAATCTCGTAAACAACCAGCAAAAAAACGAGCACGTAAAACATCGGATACAACTGACGGTGTCGTTCGTAAGTTTCTTCTTCTTTGAAAATTCCAAAGTCTTCCAAGTGTCCTAAGACGAAAATCTCAATTGCCAAAAATGACTTGTTATTGCATTAAATTTTATGATATTTCATCTTAATCTATCATCCTGTTTTGCAAACGGTTTTTGTTTCGCTAGAGAACAACCATCATTTTTCTCATTATTTCTATCGTTTTCTGAAATGACGGATAATGGCGTCGTCCTCTTGGATTTGGGATGATAAAAGTCACCTTTTTTTTTTCACTTTTCCTCTTTCAATATCATAATGAAATGAACTCGAATAAAGCTAAAATTTTCAGAAGCTATTTTAAATCGAGTTGTTATATACATCCTGAAAACCTTATCACATTCCGAGCTTCCATACCTGATTGACAGCTCAGATATAGGTCCATGACTGAATCATCAAAAATGATCTTCAAGTTTAAGTAATAAGTTTCGGAAAAGATATCTTTACTAATATGAAAAATCCGAATATAAAAATTAATAATAAATATTAATTTTTGGCATTTCTGAGAAAAATTTCTTTAGTAATCTGTACACTTTTTTAAGAAAAATTCTAATGAAGTAAATAAAGAGTACTACATTTTAAAATACTATCGGCATGTATCTATGATAATACTGTAATGATTTTAATTAATTGAATAGGTAAACGTGGCCGAGCAAAATCTACAATTAAGCGCACAGTTCGTTTAACAAAACGACGAAAAGAAAAAGTTTCTTCTGAAAAATCTGATAATGAAGATGAAACATCAAAACCTACGAAAAAAAGTATAAATTTTTATTTTAAAAAATTTTGTCAATTCAATATCAAATATTTTTTTAGCAAAAAAATCTACTACAATACCAAAAGCACAATTATTTAAAGTACATAGTAATCGTTTACTCAAAGAAAATACAACAATAACAAAATATAATAAAGAACCATTTTTTGAAGACAAGTAAAATTATTTTTTAAATTAGATAAAATTTTTGATAAGAAAAATTGAATCAATGTTTTGTTTTTTTTTGTTCTCTTTTAGTTTATCTGTACCATTTATTTCATCATTTATTCAAAGTAAATTAACTATTCGTGCTGTAATTATAAATGATTCAAAACTTTTAAAAAGTCTTATTAATGATGTTCATCATGTTTGTTCGGTAAAGAATAATGATTAGGAAAAATAAAATAAGAATTTTTATTTTATATTTATTTGTAGGTACATGTAACACGTAGTCTTTATAATGATTTATCAGCATTACATTATGCAATTAAAAATAATAATATTAATATGGTTAAAATTTTACTTGATGATATAAAATCACCGAAAAAAAATCGATGTCCTTTTCCAACTATTTCAATGACAACACAAAGTACAGGAAGGTAAATATAAATAATATCTATATTTATATTTTTTGAAATCAAAAAAATTTTCATCATAATCTAGAGCTAATATTCACACATTTGGTTTTCGTACAGCTCCAATAATGGCAAGTCGTGGAGCTAAAGAAGGCAATAATGCATTAAATAAAGTAATTCTTTTTCTTTATATTTTTAGTAAATTATTTAATAATAATTTTTTTGTTCTTCTTTAGGATCAAATGACTGCAGAACAAGATCATAATGGTACTGAAATAATTTCTTATGGTTTCAAGAATAATTGTTCACATGAAATATATGATTTACTTTGCAAATCATTTGAAAATACAGTAAAAATTGTTTTTATTTATTTTAAAAATTTTTATATATACTTTTCTAGCGTAATACAATTTATGATAATATTCATAAAATAATTCAAGCTGGTCATCGTAAATTAGCTGCAAGTATTATTGATGAAATAAAAGATAATACATTTCATGGATTTAATTATCTTCATCATCAAGTTTGTTTTAATTAAATAATTTAATACAAAAATTTATTTTTGCTTTTTTGAAAAGGTTTTACTTTATGATAATGAAGATATAACAATCAATCGTGCAACAAGTGTTATTAAAAAAACTCGAGCTAATTTTATGGTAAATATTTATTAACAGATGCTTTTCGAATATGATGGACTTAGAAATTTTGTTGGAGAGGAGTAGTGAAATAATCTTTAAAAATTCAAAAGAATTAGTTTTAAACAGAAAATTTTTTCGCAATATTTTTGTATTTTTACTATTATGATTCGAAACTAAATGTTCGGATCTTTTTTTATATACTAGTTTATAGATTAGAAGTTACCCTACAAAATACATTATTTTTGTTCATTTTTGAAAAATTGACAACCATTTTATGTTGAAAGAAGCTCTTGAAAAAATGCTTGTAGTCTCACTAGAATAAAAACTACAGCTTAATTCCATATTACATTTTGTAGAGAAATTACTCTCTCTCTCTCTCTACAAAACGACCGACTCCGACAATTTTTAGTATATGCTTTTCACTAATCTTGAACAAAAGAGTTCTAAATTCATATTCAAAAAGAACATTCTAATTCATAACTTTTGATACGTCGGAAACCTATCAAAAGTCAACAAACATCTTGTCTAAAAAATTTTTCAATCACTCATTATTATACTTTTCATTTTTCTATTTAAAATTATATTTATTTAGATAACACCAATACATTGTGCTGCAATAAATCCCAATGCAAAATATTTAAAACAATTATTAAATACAATGCCAGAATATAATATTCTTGATAAATATGAACGTAGACCAATACATTTTGCTGCTGCATGTGAAGGATCAGATCCACTTGAATATCTTTTATCAAAGTAAAATCAATTTAAAATTAATATGAAAAATAAAAATTCTGTTTGTTTTTAAATAGACATGTTAATTTTAATGATGTTGATCGTGGTGGTAATTCACCATTACATATTGCTGTTATGAATGGTCGTGCAATAAATGCTGAATTATTATTACGTACAGCAAAAGAAAAATCAACATTAAATGAAGCTGAAGATCAGATAATTCATGAAAAATTTGGTCTTGCTTCAATTAATCGTATGAATAAATCACGTTTTTATCCTTTACATTTGGCTGTTCTTAATGATCATTTAGTATGTAAAAATTCTTTCTTAAAAAAAAAAGAAACAACATTTCGTAATTTAATCCTTATAGAATTGTGTACAAGTTTTACATGAATATGGTGCAAATGTTGATATTTTTACAAGTACATCATCAGGAAAATTAACACCATTAATGTTAGCTTGTCAAAAAGGTTATTTAAATATAGTTCAATATTTAATTGAAAATGGAGCTAAAGTTGAAGCTCGTGATCGTTTTCAACGAACACCACTTATACATGCATGTATGTGTGGTAATGCACATATTGTTTCATATTTACTTCGTTTGGGTGCTAATGCAAATGTATATGATTCATCATTAAATACAGCTTTACATTATGCTATAGCTAATGGATGGTATTTTTGTGTACGATTATTACTTGAAGCAGATGCAAATTTAAATTGTGTTAATTTATGGCAAACAACTTGTTTAGCAGCAGGATTTTTAAAAGGACATTATGGTCTATGTGATTATCTTCTTACAGATCATAATGTTGATATTAATTTTAAAACTGATGATGGTTTAACTTTAGTTATGTTAACTGTTGGTCTTGAAATAACATCATCAGCTGTAGAACAACTTGAATATGTTGTAATGAAACATAAAGCTGATTGTACAACTACTGATGCTAATGGAAGTAATGCTGTAAGTTTTAATTGATTGTAAGAATGTTCTGTAGT